TCCTCCCACACTCCAAAGACATGCTGGTAGGTGAATTGGCTCCTGTCTAAATTGGACCTAGTATGTGTATGTATGAATGTGAGTTAGGGGTCTTAGATTGTATGCCCCTTGAGGGTTAGGGACTGATGTGAATGTATAATATATATATGTAAAGCACTGTGTAAATTGATGGCACTATATAAGTACCTGAAATAAATAAGAGTGTCTAAAATGGTAAGTAGTAATTTTTAAATATATTTTAGGTAATAATTCGTAAATTAAAACAAGTGGTTGTTTTTTTCCAGTTTCACTGCAAAAGTGGAACTACATCTTAAGGAGACATGGTCTGGTCACCTTAATAATTCTATCTATGTAGGTATGCTATTGTTGTTACATTTTTTTCATCCTTCTTTATATCTCAGTACTGCTCATTTTCTCTGGCCTTTTTTTAACCCACCAACCTCTGACGTCACATCCGGGTGCTTGCATTCCAAACTGGCTCCCACAGCATGGCGGTCCTTCCTGCATTCCACACACACTGCTCCACACCGCTGGTCACTGGTAAAGCACCACACAGGATTGCCACAGGGGATCCTCCTGCTGGAGGTTGTTTCTATGATTTGATGATCCTCCTTACTTCTTATCTCTTGTAAGTGTTTTTAAACATTGGCATATTAAAGCCTTTTTTAACTTCTGCACTTAGAAGTGCCTTCTTTTGATTAACTAAATAATCGATATTGCTGACATTTTTTTATTTTTACTGAGCAAATGTACAAAAATTATTTTTGGCTATACTTCAGGTTTAAGTGGACTCATAACTAAAAGGCAAAGTCTTTAGTGTTTTCTGATTTGTGTGGAATAAAGTGCAGTAGTATATAATCTATGTATCTAATTCCACACCTTCCCTTACAAAAGAACATGGACAGCTGCAGTGTAGACTCCTTACTTTTATAAAGTATTGAAAAGATCTATTTCCAACCTAATGAGATGTGATATACGAGGTGTTCCAGTAAACTCAAATCGCACATTATAGCATACAGCTTGTTGACCATTAATTGAGCCTCAACTAGGTTACAAGAAAAAAAAAAAACAAAAAACAAACAAATCCATGAAAACGTGGGGGCCAATTTTCCAAGCCTGCAGTTACAAATTCACAGGATGTAGCCCAGGCAATTCCCAGCTTTCTGACTCAATAAATATACAAATCAAACTTTTATTGCATATGACCCCCATTATACCTCAGCTGGTGATACAAGGAATGCAGTCGCTGCATGTTGGGGCCATTAAGATATTAAAACAGTTTAAGAAAAGCTTGACATACACTGCTTTTCTTTCATTTGGACATAATACTGTATGTTTTGTCAAGGAGACCTTTTTACATACTAGTGCTTTGTGCACATGGCATCATATAATAATTTTCACATAAACTGAATCATAATGTTATTTATTGTGTGCATTTTTGATGTAAAATAAAGTGTATGCATAATCCTTTCAGCTGCATCTTATTGACTGACTGCTATTATAAAAAGATAAGAAGATCATATGTTCTAATTTAGCTTTCATGACTGTAGAAACTCTTCTGCCTTTTTTTTAAAAAGAAATCTATAGAAAATGTATTCATATTTTGTAATGTCCCAAAAATAAAGTATTATTTTGTAACTGATAGAGTGGGATTATCTGTATCTTTATATACTCACCTCACTTTTATCCACGTCATATAAAATATATTAAGCCAATCATTTTTCATTTTTGTTACACGACAGTACAAGCCTGGTTGACCGTGGAGATCCTTTCGGGTGTGTAAGCTGGCTGCCCAGGAACCAGATCATTTACATTAGGAGTCCAAAAACATTTAAAACAGGGGAACAGTTCACAGACCTTCATATCAACGGAAGCCACGTCACTGGAAACCATGTCACTGGAAGTGACATATAGAAGGATGTCTAGAAGCCGCAAAAATCTTTTGATCTCCAGGATGAGGTGTGGCCTCTTTGTTCAAGGGGATTTGATGAAATGCATCAGACAGCTTGGTTTTCAGGAGGAGCCGGGCTGAGGCCACTCTTTCCTCCTCATACATGTGGAGCTGGTGTGCAATATTTCATTTTTCTTTGCTGCAGCTCTTTCTGGATAAGCATACTCATACCAGCATGTGTGGTGGGTAGACGCAGTGGATTTTTATTTACTGAAACTGGAGAGTGCAAAATCAGGCTCACTTATTCCAATCAGCTTACAGGTTTTATTGCCAAAGCTTAATTAAACAAGCTGAGGTTAGAAGCTGATTGGTTCTTGATTTTGTACTCTCCAGCTTTAGTAAATAAACCCCAGCGTGTTTTGGGCTGGTATGGGTTGGTCCAACAATGCTGTGGGGGAGAGCTACAAATGACAGTGTAAGAATGAATATTTTTTTTGGGCTGTAATAAAAGGCTGTGACAATAAATAAATAAATAAATAAACAAACAAACAAACAAATAAATAAATAAATACATGTTTTAATTGTATATACTATTGTAGTCTGATTTATTTATACCATCATGTTTTTTGGGTTACAAAGGCTTCTAAATTCATCTCAGATTTTTATACATAGCATGTAATGGAAAGCCCTTCTCCATCCAGGATTGCAAGGAGACAGGCTCTCAATTATACTCTTCAGAAAAAAAAAGCCATGAATGCACAGTCGCACACAGCCCAACTCCCAAGGATAGTGAAATACCGTATGTGGCCCAGTGTAAGCTGCTGCGTTGGAAGCAACATGATTGTCTGATCACATATATGTAATGGCATTTTGTTTTCACGTAAAGGGCAAGGTGGGCCATATCAGGCTAATTTTAGTAAAGCTGTAGTTATACTTTAACAACCAGTTAGTCTGTGTGGTCCTTCTTTGAAATTTTATTTCTTTTAACTGATGCTTATATAGAATATGTTAATTACATGGCAGCTTGCTAACTACAAGGTACAAATGAATCTTTTGTAGACCTGATTTGAACTGTGTCCTCATGTATAGGTCACTTACAAACATTATATCTTTAAATATCTATATATCTTAAAAATTGCAATAGTTGATCACCTTCTGTTGCATTATTTTACACTGCGTTTGTCACATTCCTGCCATAATATGGCATAAAAATAGTATTAGATAAAGACAATAAATCAAACAAATAAAAGTGTTTATGACACACAATAGGTAACCTTGAGATGCATTTTCTTTATTTAATTTGAAGAATAAACTATTCAGTAATGATGACATTTACAGTATGTGTCCTAAAAATCTCATAATGTCTCCAAATGTATGCAGTGATTTATATTCAGTGAAGCTAAAGGCAGTATTAAACACAAAAGCAAACATTTACTGTATTGCGGATTAACAATTTCTTAGATTTGTTGGCTGAATTGGTATTCTCTTTTTAAGCTTTATTTCCTTTATTTTCAGTGGGTGACTTAGCTAGTAAGTCTGTTCTTTTTGAACAGAACACGCTGATGTTGCAGTTAGATGGTTGAGACAAGCATTTTAATAGCTTCTATTTCTTTATGTAAACCTTTATCCCAAAAAGCAAAAAAACTGCACTGTAACTGCTTATAAAATGTTAGCTGGAGTTCAGCTTCAGTTTGTTAGTGTATCTAAATAGGTAAGGTAATACATCTAATATTACCCTCCCCCCCAGACTGACAATGCTGCTGTCCAAAGGAACCCTGTGCTCCTTCACTCAGAGTAGGGCCTCTCTAATACAGCAGGTGTGCTATTGGCCAGATCATTAGATGAAAACAGAGGAAAAAAAGATCTAAAAAAAAGAAAGAAAACCAATGCAGCCACCACATCTATTGATTGTTAATTTTTTGGTTTAGGGTTTAATACAGCTTGGTGCTAGGGTTTAACTCATCTCGCTCTCTCGCTGGTGCCACCATCTCCAACAGAGTTTTCTTCTGGGTTGTGGATCTTTGGCTATCTTGATTGACCAGGCCAGAAAGACATAACTGCATAATGTTCCCCGCTACACAAATTTCAAAGTGGGATTCTTACGTGATTTTGCCTTTCACATAGAGCCTGTCCACTCACTTGAATGAGCTTCTCTATGCATGTATGTCATCCAAAAAAGAAGCTCTTGCTCCTTTTTGGGTGAAAAGATTTGCATGATTTTCAAAGGCAAATTGTTCCATGATTACCATGTGATTTTGTTCCACAATCGTGACAGATCACATTGTGTGATGGGTGCCAATAAAGGATAATGGCACCCACACGTGTATCACACTTTGTGCAGAGATTTTCACGTGATTTGGAATGGCAGGTAGAATTGTGGTGATTCTGCCTGCAATTTCATATCATGAAATATGAATGGAGCCTGAGAGTTCATGTGTTCTGGCACCAAGGTGTGCAGAAAATGTACACTGAGCTGTGCATTCACAGCTCAGTGTACATTCTAAAGAACATTGCAAACAGACAGGTAACTTTGTTTTGCTGCAGAAGAGGCATAAAAAAGTCAAATCCAAAAGAAAATCACTCATATTTTAAGAGTGTATTAGTAGCACTACACTTTCACAGGCCTCATTGTATTACTGTTGGGTAGACTCCAAATAAATCACCTCATTTGGGAGGAAGTCAACGATTCTCACCAACCAACACCAGTTTCCTCTATTGGTACCTGTATTCCTCACATTCATCAAACTAATCAAACTAACATTCAAAACTAAAAGACAACCACTTTAATTCTAAAAGTGCATAAGTGACACTACACTCTCACAAGTATCAACATAATGTTGCTGGGTCGCCTCTAGATGAATGACCATATGTGGGAAGAAGTAAAATGTTTTCACAGACCCCCATAAAAAACACCAGTAGATCCTCAACAGCAAGCCATGTGTGCATGTGATCAGCGCTCAAACCGTTTCTGCATGATACTTTCATCAGGATATCTATTTCTGCTGGGGGGAGAGGAAGGTCACCTATATAAGTCAGAAGACATGGCAAGGGATGATCGCGTGCACGCGCCACCCTACCCACGCCACTATTGGCTGCTGAACATGTCAACCACCAGGTCCCAACCGGCGATTCTCAGCCGGGACTCAGTGATTATTGGCTGACAGGGGAGAGACCAGTATGTAAACAACACAGGCCTCTCTCCTGTCAGCATAGACATGCTGCTTTGTATTTCTCTGCACAGCAGAGAAATACAAAGCAACATGTCCCATAGTAAAACACTACACAGCACATAATTTTAAAAACACACACAGCACACAGTTAACGCTTTGATCACCCCAGATGTTAACCCCTTCCTGCCTAGTGTCATTAGTACAGTGTCAGTGCTTTTTATTAGCACTGATCATTGTATTAGTGTTATTGAGATGTCAGTGGCAGTTAATCAGTTCCCACCCAGTGTCAGAATGCCCACCGCAGTCCCACTATAAGTCGCTGATCGCTGTCATTAGTAGTATAAAAAAAATAAAAATAATAATTCCAGTATATATATACCACTATTTGTAGACGTTATAACTTTCATGTAAACCAATTATATTAATTACACTCTTATTGGGATTTTTTTAGCAAAGACAGGTAGCAGAATAAATTTTGGCCTAAATTTACGAAGAAATTTTATTTTTAAAAACTTTTTACTGGATATGTTTTATAGCTAAAAGTCAAAAAATATTGTTTTTTTTTTCAAAATTGTCAGGTTTTTTTTTGTTTATAGTGCAAAAAATAAAAAAACACAGAGGTGATCAAATAACACCAAAAGAAAGCTCTATGTGTGGGGAAAAAAAGGACATAAATGTACTTTATGTACAGCATTGCATGACTGTGCAATTTTCAGTTAAAATAACGAAGCATCGTATTGGAAAAAATTGCCTGGTCAGGAAGGGGGGGTAAAGCCTCTGGAGGGCAAGTGATTAAGCAATAAAAAAAAGCATAAAGGAAGCTTATTAAATGCCCATGAGAGTGCTGATTCTTTCTAGTAGGGGTCTGCAAATTATGGCCCTCCAGCTGTTGAAGTAATACAAGTCCCATCATGCCTCTGCCTCTGGGAGTCTTGCACGTGGCTGTCAGAGTCTTGCAAGGCCTCATGGGACTTGCAGTTCCTCAACACCTAGAGGGCCATAGTTTGGAGACCCTGCTTTAGAGGGAAGTGCTTAATGAGGAAGACATGTAGAGGAAATGATCTGCTCTGAGGCTTGATTAGTTGTGTGATAGTAGGGGTTTTTGTGAATTCTCTGCAAGATGGATTTGTATACTGGGTTCTCTGTGACACTTGGCTTGGTCTGGCTTAAAATGAACATGTAAAGAATGGTCCAGCAGAATAGAGGAGGGTGTTGCTCCAAAATTGGAAAGTGCTTTTCTACACTCTTCACCAAGAATTACAGATATACCCCAAATGTTATTTGATTATACCCACATGAAGGTGTCCATATTTTATGCCATTTGATACAATTGCAACTGCATTGTTGGAGTCAGTCTAAAGAGGACTGATTTGGTATCTAAGTCAGTGGGATGAAGGAGGAGGGGAAGGGGAGCTGGTAGGCTCTGGAATCCAGTGTGACTCTAGGTGAGGGAGGGGGGCTGAAGGGCTCTGGGGAAGATTGTGTGGTTATAAAGGTCTTTGGGAACTTAAGGGTAAAAGAAGAGCTCTGTGAATATGTTGGTCCCCCCCCCCACCCTCCTAGTACTCACAGAGAGTTCAGGCCTGCTTCAGGGTGATGCCTGTTGGGGAATGAAGACAGCTATTCCTTCTTCCCATTTGTGGTCATGTGATATATATTGTAAAAGACTGTCTGCTGCATACAAAATTAAAAATATATCCAAAATATGCCTAAAACTGTGTACACAGGAAGAAAAACAGATATGCACACAGAACGATTACGAAGTTCTCTTGTATTTAGAAACGTACGGCTTTTGTACAGTTAAAAGATAACGTTAGATCACGTTATATCTGGCTGAAAACAATACAGCCCTATCCCTAGCATGGTCACAGTTGACTGTGTGCCTGGAATGCTGGACATTACCCATGAGAATGTCTTTTGAAGCAAAGAAAACTTTAAGGAAGAAATCCATGAGTAACAAATACAAAAATGGAGTCTCGAAACCTTACTTCTGAGCGAGGCCCACTTGCTCAGTCACATGACAAATGGAGACAGGAAGAAGGGCAATCTTCCCTAATTCTCCAGCGGGTGCCTGTACTGAGAAGGAGGTCTGTTCTCAGTGGGTGCCTCCTCTCACTACTCTTTTCCACCAACAGTAGGTTGCTGTTGGAGGGAGCAAAATACTCCCTCCGACAGCTATCACTGCCTCTGCTTTGCCTGACAGGATCATGATGCTGTTGTTACTTCTGTCAATCAGTCAAGTGGAGAACTGAGTCATGGCAAGTTCTCAGCCACCCACACGCAAAAAAATTGCGCCTGGGATAAGCTGCCCCTTCTAACACCTAATGTCCTGGTACTGTATACTGTATATATTCTTGTTGTTAGTTTATGTGATTCAACTAGGTTCTCCAATATACTCCAACTTATTATTATTATTATTATTATTATTAATTATACAGTATTTATAAAGCGCCTCGCTCAGCGCTGTACATTATAACTTATGCAAAAACATTGTTTATCAGCATTCACCTTAACTGGCTATAGCATGTGTGTCTGTATAACTCTAGTTAGGACTTTAGAGTGTAAGCTTCTGACAGGGACTGATGGGAGTTGTCTGATTTATTTGTGAAAAAAAAACTGATGGCTCTAATCTCTAGGTGGCTGATTTTCTAGCAGTAGCATAAAAAAATATAATAAAATACATTTTATTGTTTTTAAACTTGTTAAATGAGCATATTACTACTTTTTATAAAGATACATATATACCTATAGCTGTAATGGTGGCTTTGTACTACAAGCGTTGAAGGTTTCTAAGCACTTAGTAACACTTAGTAAAAGCATCCCTAAGGACATTGTAGAACTAAATCTGCAAAGTGCCAAAGCCAATAACTGTAAATTGTTGTCACTAATGCTCCAGCAGATGATTATGAACGTAATGATGCTTTATAGACTCTTGTGTATCTGATTCATCTAAATAATGGAGGAAGAGGAAAAGAGGAACTACCAGAAACTATTTGCCAATACCATAAATAGTAATTGATTGTAGCATTATGAATTAAATCAACACTAAAGTGTTACCTGAAACTACTTCCATTACATATGCTTTTCTTAACAAGGAATGTAGACTTTAGACTTAGATTTTGTCTGAGCCTATCCAAAAAAAGAGCTTCATTAATAAAATGGGGAATCACCTAGCAACTAGTGACACTGAACTGAACTGACCCTAAGCCAAAATTGGGTGGGGTCACCCCCAAAATTCATAACAAACCCTTTTTAAGGCATGCAGCCTGACTAGCCAGGAAAAGGAGGAGCAAAAATTGTTTGCCCCATCCTGGACCATACCAGGCCATATGCATTAAGCATGTCTCTCCAGAATTTGATGGGGACTTCTCACATCCCTAGCCCAGTAGATGAGTGGTGTCAGGGGGGACGTACAGTGGGGCAAAAAAGTATTTAGTCAGCCACCAATTGTGCAAGTTCTCCCACTTAAAAAGATGAGAGAGGCCTGTAATTGGCATCATAGGTAGACCTCAACTATGAGAGACAAAATGAGAAAAAAAATCCAGACAATCACATTGGCTGATTTGGAAAGAATTTATTTGCAAATTATGGTGGAAAATAAGTACACCTACAAACAAGCAAGATTTCTGGCTCTCACAGACCTGTACCTTCTTCTTTAAGAGGCTCCTCTGTCCTGCACTCATTACCTGTATCAATGGCACCTGTTTGAACTTGTTGTCAGTATAAAAGACACCTGTCTACAACCTCAAACAGTCACACTCCAAACTCCACTATGGTGAAGACCAAAGAGCTGTCGAAGGACACCAGAAACAAAATTGTAGACCTGCACTAGGCTGGGAAGACTGAATCTGCAATAGGCAAGCAGCTTGGTGTGAACAAATCAACTGTGGGAGCAATAATTAGAAAATGGAAGACATACAAGACCACTGATAATCTCCCTCGATCTGGGGCTCCACGCAAGATCTCACCCCGTGGGGTCAAAATGATCACAAGAATGGTGAGCAAAAATCCCAGGACCACACGGGGGGACCTGCAGAGAGCTGGGGCCAACGTAACAATGGCTACCATCAGTAAGACACTACGCCGCCAGGAACTCTGCACAGACTACGCCAGTACATGTCCGGGCCCATCTGAAGTTTGCTAGAGAGCATTTGGAAGATCCAGAAGAGTATTGGGAGAATGTCATATGGTCAGATGAAACCAAAATAGAACTGTTTGGTGGGAACACAACTCGTCGTGTTTGGAGGGGAGAGAATGCTGAGTTGCATCCAAAGAACACCATACCTACTGTGAAGCATGGGGGGTGGCAACATCATGCTTTGGGGCTGTTTCTCCACATAGGGACCAGGACGACTGATCCATGTACAGGACAGAATGAATGGGGCCATGTATCGTGAGATTTTGAGTGCAAACCTCCTTCCATCAGCAAGGGCATTGAAGATGAAACGTGGCTGGGTCTTCCAACATGACAATGATCCCAAACATACCACCCGGGCAATGAAGGAGTGGCTTCGTAAGAAGCATTTCAAGGTCCTGGAGTGGCCTAGCCAGTCTCCAGATCTCAACCCCATAGAAAACCTTTGGAGGGAGTTGAAAGTCCGTGTTGCCCAGCGACAGCCCCAAAACATCACTGCTCTAGAGGAGATCTGCATGGAGGAATGGGCCAATATACCAGCAACAGTGTGTGCCAACCTTGTGAAGACTTACAGGAAACGTTTGACTTCTGTCATTGCCAACAAAGGATATATAACAAAGTATTGAGATGAACTTTTGATATTGACCAAATACTTATTTTCCACCATAATTTGCAAATAAATTCTTTCCAGATCAGCCAATGTGATTGTCTGGATTTTTTTTTCTCATTTTGTCTCTCATAGTTGAGGTCTACCTATGATGCCAATTACAGGCCTCTCTCATCTTTTTAAGTGGGAGAACTTGCACAATTGGTGGCTGACTAAATACTTTTTTGCCCCACTGTATCAGAATATGGAAGGGCCTTCTAAGATAAAGGGGCCCTTATATATCCATCCCTGCTATGTTAATGGCTGATGGGGGAACATTCACGTGTACACACACATATAATACAAAGCAAATAAACACACATGCACATTACAAGTGTATTATTTTCAGAAATGACCCAAGATGTAAATCCGACCTCAATCACATTCTCCAGCGTTGTAGATCCATGGTAATCACCATGAATAACGCTCCCCTAACACAAACACAACTCAAGACATGATTCTCGCTTCATCAGCTCTCACCACAAATGATAGTCCCCCAGCTGGATGTTAAATTTCAGTCAACCAGATGGTG